AAGCTGCACGATCATCCCGGTGAAACCAAGTTCGATTCCCGGTTAACCGCGGACAAAGGACGAGTGGCGACATCTGAACCACGCCGCCCCTCACCATCCACAACTTCACCGAGCCGCACGAGCCAGCATTATGGTGAAGTACGGTCAAGAAAGCAACACCCCGCACCCCCACCCCGCCACACGCTATAGTTGTAACAATAGTTCACTGCGTTGTGAACCCGGTGACCCGAGTTCGATTCTAGGCCCACGGATAACGCGAGTGGCGAGCGATGTCACCGAGTGGTCACGCCACACCGCACCCACACCACAAACGACACCGACGCCGCATTGACTAGCGGCGGTGAAGTATGGTCAAGACAGTGCTGAGAGCGTATTCTGTTTTGATTTCAGTTGCGATCGCTGCGAGGGTCATGATAGTGTTTAATAGCCCAATGGCAGCTGTCACTCGACGAAAGTTGACTGAAATGTAGTCATCGAAGTTGGGATCGTGTGTCCAATTCTTAAACGTTGTGCACGGTCTTTAATTTCAGCCCTAGGCCGCAGTGCGTAGAAACTACTTCGGGTGATCGGGACTGAGCGACCGATGTACATTTTAATTTTCTGAAAGGATTGGAAAGCTGAATTTTGGGCACAATTGTCGGCCACTTTTTTTATAATTACCATAAAAAGAAAAACATCTAAAATGTCAATGTTTTTTTTTCTCTCTCCTACCACTCCCCACCTCGCCCCAAACATTACAGCTCAGATGTTGATTGGTTTGACTTATAGGGCAGAGTCAGCCTGAAAGTTCCACATTCTCCCAAGCCTCTTACTCAAACACTTACAAATGCAGTTCTGAAATGTATACCACAATCCCCATCATCAGTGAAGTGTCCCGCTAAAACCAAGAGCGGAAACGAGCCACTTTATTAGTTGCAGAAGTAGCTGAAGCACACCGTAATTAAAATGCCGTTATTGCCGACTCGATAATGTCTCCATGATAGAGGTTTTTTGGGTTAGGTCGCCTAAATATATAAATGTGTCCTTAAACCCGCCACCATCTGACACAGCCAACTAGTAAGGGTTGTCACGTAAACAGAACGTGGCCAATTCGTCACTAGTGCAGCACACCGGTGTGTTGGAGAGTCAAGCCACAACATTTACAATCTGAGTACGACGTTTCGCCAGGAATTACAACTAGCTTCATCAGGTGACAGCCAGCTTTGTGGAGAAGTCCACCTCCTTCGTTCCTTATATAGAGGCGAAGATGTGGTGACGTCGAAAATGTCTCCCGTCTCTAGTACCCCAAAATGATGCAGCTACGATACTTGCAGCGACGAATAAAATATCGTTCGTGGACCGTTCATTAAAGTTGTGGCCATGGGTCGTATTTTTGTTGTTGTTGTTGTTGTGTTCAGTTTGGTGACCTAGCCCCACACCCCCCGATGAGCACGGTTGGCTACGTACGGTGCGGAAGAAGTTCGACGTGCACGCATGGAGGAAGTTGAGTTGCCGGGCATGGCTTCCCCACCGCGGCTGGTGATGCCAATAGACTCTTACAAATATATTTTTTTTCAATGTGACGTGGAGATACGAAAATGGAAGACGGTGTGTTTAACAAGAAGTGGGGGGGGGGGGAGAGAAGCACGCAAGCAGTCGAGGCGAGGCAGGGCAGGAACTTCTTCCACAAATTTCCACGGAGCTGCAGTTAATAACGTGTCGACATCTGTTTCCTGTTGTCAGGACGCTAATTTATGAAAGCCTCTTTAAGCCAAATTTTTTTTTTCTGGGTGAGGACGCCCCAAACTGCTTCGTAAATATTTCTCTGCAGTCTGAACAAACTGCGGCAGGGGCCGACTTGATCGGACCCCCCCCCCCCCCCCCGAACAAAATTACACACAGAGCAGCAACCCCAGGAAGAGAGAGAGAGAACAAACTTGCACTAATGTAAACAGGCAGCTAGCATTCGATAGTACGCGAAATGGCTCACGCATTCATATCAGCTGCGGACGCATTAAGCCCTAATAAGGATGTGGCAAGTGTTTTTTGCCGGGTATGCTGGTGCCCGATAGTCCCCCTGTGGTTTATGCGTCTGGATCAAATTTTCAGACAGCCTCAAGTCAGCACGTGCATTGGTATGATCATTATTAACAACAACAATGCACACGTACATATTACAACGCCGCTGTGACGAGATGTTAACTACCTCGCTTGGTATGCAGGAGGTCATGGGTTCGATTCCGACCCTGGTACCTGCACGTGTCTCTCTCATCGTGGTCGCGTGGATTTTTCTCCACGAGTCCTCCGGTTTTTCCGTCCACATTTAGAATCGCCGTGCGTTCAGAGTATTCGGCTCTTGTTATAAATTACCACGTGATCGGCCACTTGGTTTGAGCTATCATTTGTGGCCAGGTCGCTTTTGAAAAAGAGCTATAATAGCTCAGTGGGCGATACCTGGTAAAATTAAAATAGTAGTTTGTTAATCCCCTGCTGCATGATGACCTACTCAAGGCCTGCAAGCCTGTTTGAGTGTAACAACAACCCCGCTATGGATCCGTGCTGGGTTTTGTTTCCATAACGGAACTGGTCCAAACATTCCAACGGTAGCAGGACCAGGGTTTAATTTCAGCGGGAGCTGTCCGGGGCTGTGCTACAGAAAATATCCCCCAACACCCCGCCACCCCTTGCTCCTGAAAATGTCTTGCGACTCCACGAGGTGCGGCGTTTGTGGGTGAATGAAGGCCGTTCGTATTCGTGCCGAAGACCAAAAGGCCACAATCTCATAAGTTATCAAAGGCTAAGCAAGTCATATTCTTAGCTCTTTCTGTAAAGTTACGTTGAAGGGAAACAATAAAAAGAATAAAATATATATATATAAAACAATCAAAAAATCCTCACGACGTTTCGACCATAACACAAACGGTCGTCATCAGGTGTGAAAAACCAACACCTGATGATGACCGTTTGTGTTATGGTCGAAACGTCGTGAGAATTTTTATTGTTTCATATATATTTTATTGTTTTTTTTGTTCCCCTTCAACGTGACTTTACCGAAAGAGCTGAGAATATGAATTACTGCAGTCACGAAAGCTTTAAATCAAAAAGGCTAAGCAAGTCGTTGAGCCTGAACATCGTTCGTCACAAGGCTGCGGAGCTCCGTGCTGGGCAGCAGAGGGCAGTGCGGCTAAATCCATTGTTGTGTTGCACTGTACTTCTAAGCTACCAGCGTTCACCACTACCGCACTGATCGACAGACCGTGTGGGGGCCTTCATCCAGCAGTGGATTGATTCGTGACTACTCCATACGTTACAATAGATGTTATTTTCACAAGTCAAAAGTACACGGTAGCAATAATGACCGCGAAGCATTGGCTTGTACTCCCATATACACAGAGACTTTTAGCGGGGGTAGTGTGAAATCCATTGTTCGGCCCCCTGCCGATCAAGATATACCCCCCAGCCTGTTATACAGGAGGCCGTGAGTTCGATCCCGACCCTGACGCCTGCTCTATGTTTGGGGGGGGGGGGTTATTTCCCGTGGTCGCGTGGATTGTTCTCCGGATCCTCCGGTTTTTCCTTCCACACATTTAGAGAATATTTAGAGTATTTGGCTGCTATACATTTCCACGTGATAGGCCCCTTCGTCGTTGAACTGTCATTTGTGACCAGGTCGCGTCTGAAACAACGCTGTGTAGCTCAGTAGGCCTTACCTGGTAAAATAAAAAAAAATTGAGTTTAGTTTTAGTTAAAGTGTGTGGAAGGTAGCCCACCACCTCCTCATTACCCACCAGCAAAGGGAAAATGATGCGGGTTAAATTCCACTTTCGATCTCGTCCGGATCAGATTGTAAAGATGATGCGTGGTATAAATATTGCTATGAACATTCAAGGACGAACGCCCACCACCTTATATATACAGGACACCTTTGTCTCTTCATTTCTAATCTGGACAGACCGTAACAGGGCCGTTGTTTAAGGCTGAGCCGACATAGGGGATAGGCGCGGAACCGGTGATGATAAGAGTATCACACAAAGTCGCTGGTGTACAAACAAGCCGTGGCCGGGAATCCAACTCAGACGGGCACAGGTTCGTAGCACAGTGCCACCCAGCGACTCCACAGACACACACGACTCACACGACACGCACGTCTCACACGACTCACACGACACACACGTCCGCAACTGATCACGCGTACTCGGCATGCGTACGCACCACGACGTCTTCCCTTGAACGCAGAGCGGAATACGTCCGTGTTTGACCAATCATCCGGCGCGTGTAGCGTGCAACGGCTTCATTAGTATTCTAACGCGGAACACTGGCAAATGTGGGAATGCGCATACGGTGGGTGTGGGACACGAGTCCTGCGAGTTTGCGAATCTTTGTGTTGCGGGAAATTATCCTAACAGTCCCGACAGTGTGCGCAACGCGCTGTGCTCCGAGACCCGGGCGAACCTGGGTTCGATTCCAGGCTCCGGGCAACATCGGTGGCGCATGTTATCTGAACGTACCTTTTTTTAGTGCCGTGTCAAGAAAAAAAACGACGATAGCGGAAAGACAAAGACGGTCGGGGCGTGTCGCTGGCCAACACCGCTCCACCGTGCGTCGTGCCGACCTTTAAATATGCGCTCGCGAACAGCACTTGCACTCAATATCCCCGTTTAAGGCTGTACGAGGAATCTTTGTCCTTTGTGTGTGTATATATAATATATATACCGTATATAGACCAAACAAGACGGAATAATGGCCGACAGTCAAGAATCATAACGGAGCGGTAACCCAGTCATTGAAAGCATCCGAAAGGATCTCGCACCGCGGTGATGGAGCGATGGAATTGGCCCGTTGTGCAAGTGGCGAGGCGGATTCATCCCCAGTGGCAGGATCGTGAGAGACGGCTTAGGGAGGCCTTCATCCAGCAGTGAATTAACCGTGGCTGATGATGATAATAATAATGACGATGAGATCATATTGAACCGCGATGATGGAAAACGCACGGGCGGACGCGTAACCGGAGTGCTACTTACGTGCTTCTTGCTCTGATGATTGTCGTGGGCCGTCCGGCTCCGCCCTGTGCGCTCCGCTTCTTACCAGCCTGTGCAGCAGCAGCAGTGGGCGGTATTGATTGTCTACTCCCGTCTGTCTCTCTGCGCCTATATGGGTCTTTTGTCTGCAAGGCGCGTACTCAAACACGTAACCGACTGGGCTTTTACGGACCTCCGGCTTCGTTCACCCGACTCTGTGCTGATGCTGGCGGTGGCTCGGCGCGTCGGACGGTAGTGCGAGCGGACTGTGGAGTGGCGACGAACCTCGATCGACTCGGTTCGGGGATCGTGTGTGGGGGGGAGGGTGTTAAAGGAACGTTGCTGAGCAGTCTCAGCCCAAATCCACGCTCTCGCTCCTCCTTTCCTTTCCTCTCCCACCCACCCTCGCCTTGTCTTTATATCGTGCAACAACAACCATCCCCAGTCACCCACCCCCAGCCTCTCCCTCCACATCCTTCCACCCCCCCCCTCTCTCCTACAGCTCTCCCCCGCCTCCCATTCCCTTCCCCGCAACCAATCCACATCAAGCCAGCCCGCGTGGATGTCCCCAACCCCATCATCCATCCATCCATCCTCCGAAGCGCAACTCTCCCTCTGGCCGATGTCTCTTGTTTATTTGACTCGGCCAATGGGGGCTCTGTTTGACAGCGTGGAGGAGGGGGGGGGCTTTGGGGGGGTATCTGATTGTGGGGAGGTGGGAATTCAGCAGCCAGTGAGCGCCACACCCCCCGTGGCCCCTTCCCCGCAGCTAAGATTTCTGATTGTGATCGAGAAACAAAGTGACCGGCGATGCCAGTGGCTTTTAGGGGAGTCGGTCTCAATGAGACACCCGTCCACCCCCCCCCCCCCCCACGGCATGAGTGGGTTTAGTTTGTTCTTCAAACGATAATGAGCAATGAGTCCTCTCGATCCAGATCCATTTGTCGATAGATTACAATCGATTACTTTGTGGTGAATGAAACCGGGGCCCCTCTTTAATAGTTAACGGCCGTCCCGACCGCATGCCTTGCGAAGGCGGGAAACCCCCCACCCCCATCATCCCCTACGAGCCACGTGATTGAAGTGACATCACTAATGCCCGCCCACCACCTCCCGTCCAGCGCCACGCGTGGGAACGAACGGTGGCGAGACTTTTTTTAAATTTCACCCCAGCTACTGTTCGCGTTCTCCTAATTAGTCAAGTAGTCGAACTGTAAATTGGCAGAGTAATCAATTACTTAAATAATATCACTGTGGCCTTAAAAGGAAAATATATATCCGACGTTTCGGGCAATGGTCCTTCGATTTTTGTTACTGGTCCCTGTGCGCCGCTGCCAACGCAGCAGTGTCACCAAATACTGTGTTGACTTACAAAAAAAATCGATTAGCCCCGCGGTCGTGATGACAACACAACCACAGCACAGCTATCGCTTCCTTCTAAGACCTCGCAGCTGTGCCAAAGTTTGGCACGCAACCTCCCAATTCCCCCCTTATTTACGACAGCCTCATCACCACCGCCACCACCATCTGGGTTTAGGTCCTCTCCTTAGAAGCCGTGGCAGAAATCTATAAATCTATATTGTATATATTAGACCAAGCTGGGTATCCTGGGGTGTGGCTGTTCGTGCTTGCGTTAAGGCGTGCGTGTTTATCTTAGCAGGGAGCGGTGGCGCAGCGGTTAGCGCATTCCGCTATCAACCCAGCAAGCCGAGTTCGATTCCTGACTGTGCATTTGCATTGGAGAGTGTAGCGGGTAGCGCGCTGGTTGGGTTACGAACCCGGCCACCCGAGTTCGATTCTCGCTCTTGGTCAACACCAGTAACGATTCTCTGAACCGGTCCTAGGCCTTCCCTATGCCGACTCAGCCTCAAATGAGTACCTGGTGCGATTCGTAAACATCGCAACCTTGGAGACAAAGGCGGCCGGGCGTGGTGCTGGTCAACCACCCCCTCCTGTGCCGTGCCGGCCTTCGTAGCTGCTCGCTAACAGCACTTGCCCCAACAGTATGTTAAGGCTATACGGGGGATATTTGTCTTTTGTAAGTGTGTGTGTGTGCCCGCTTAGGTTCAGTTAACATAGAGTTACCCACAATACCGACATCATCCATTCGCCACTTAGTGACAGTGACGTCACCACGGCGCCTGTGCCAGGCCAAGTGCACTTTGAGGCCACGTGAAGTGTCGAAGGCTCGCTGACAAGAGGTCTCGGGACAGACCCAGCTGCCAATGGGTTGGCTGACTGAGATGACCGGTAGATGCACTAGCTGTTCCCCCGACTGTGTCAACTTGCTGCGTTTTAGTCGCCCGGCGCTCCGCTCGTTGTTGTGAGCGTCGCTCCTCTGCCCTCCGTTGTTGCTGGAGAGCGACTGCCTCCAACAGCCCAGTCGCACCCTTCACGATCCTCCTCCAAAGAGGCCGATCTTGACACCGCTGGTACCAGTCTTCGGCAAGTCCATTACGCTCCACATCCTCCCGTACCGCATCGCTCCATCTCTTCTCCAGCCCGTGTCGTGTCCGTTTAGCCCCCTCTATGCAGCCAAACAGAAGCTGCTTGGGCATGCAGTAGCTGGGCATGCCAGAGGAGCTCACTGATGGGAATGTGTCCAGATCTTTCAAGGATTTGTGAGCTCCTCACACAATCCAGCTTGGTTAAACCCAGGATGGATCGTAGGCATGCCAGCCTGAATGTTTCTAACCGGCGCAGATGTTCCATTAGAGGGGTCCACGTTTCACAAGCAAAGAGAAGGGAGGGCATGACTGTGGCCAAACAGACCCGAAGCTTCGTGCGGAGCGACAGACCAGGTAGCTTCCACACAGCATCGCGCAGCCGATGAAAATATAATGCCGCCTGACTGATTCGGAGTGAGACTTCTGCTGTCAGACCGGAGCTGGTCATAAGCATACTGCACAGATATGGGAAACTCTCCACTCATGATGGGGAGCTGAGGAGGTGGAGTGTTTGGTGGCACAAATACCCAGGCAGGTGCTTAGTTTTGGTGTGGCTGATGGTAAGACCCCACCTCTTAGTGGCACACTGCAGGTTCAGCATCAGCGCCTCCAACTTCTCCTCTGAGTGAGCAGCAATCACCAAATCATCAGCATACATAAGATGGTTGACCAATAAGGAGCCATCCCTCGAACGCACTCGAGCATCGATCAGCCTCCCGTTGTATCTGTACAAGATGTAAATTCCTCCGGTACAGCCATGGAAAGCTTCTCGAACTGCGTGGTCAAAGATGATGTTAAATAATGTGGGAATCAGAGGACGCACCCCAATGTGAACAGGGAATGAATGGCTCCGACTCCTGGCCACGTAGCTGAACATGCCACCACCACCAGACGGCCTCTTTTACTTTGTTGGCCTTTTTTGGAAGTGGCGAATCGGATAGAGAAGTAGGGGGGGGGTCACTTGAAAAACACGAGGCCCCACCCCTTTCCTCCCCCCGCCTCCGAAACTTATCAACAACCACACCCCCCACACACACTCACCCACACCAACCACATTCACACACTCACCCACACCCCCCACACACACACTCACCCCACACACACTTACCCACACCAACCACACTCACACACTCACCCACACCCCACACACACACACTCACCCCCCACACACACACACACACCACACACACACACACCCCACACACACTCACCAAACCCCACACACACACTCACCCCACACACACACACACACCCCACACGCACTCACCCACACCAACCACATTCACACACTCACCCACACCCCACACACACACACTCACCACACACACACTCACCACACCCCATACACACACACTCACCCCACACACACTCACCCCACACACACCACACCCCACACACACACACACACTCACCCCACACACACACACCCCACACACACTCACGCACACCAACCACATTCACCCACACCCCACACACACACACTCATCACACCCCCCACGCTCACCCACACCCCACACACACACACTCACCCACACCCCACACACACTCACCCGCCCACACCCCCCCCCCCCCCACTCACCCACACCACACATCCACACCACCCCCCATTCACCCACATCCCCCCCTCACTCATCCACCCCCTCCTACACACACCCCCCCCCCATCACCCACACTCACCCACACTCACCCACACACCCTCCACCAATCTACCCCACCACCACCACACCGTACCACCCCCTCCCAGAACCACCTCGCCCACCACCACCACCACGAACTTCCCCACCACCCTCTCACCCCCTCTCTCCCCCGTCTCCCTTTTCGCCCCCCACACACCCACTCCCCCAAACCAACCCCTTATATATAAAGCCGTATTTTTTCGGATTATAAGACGCAGTTCACTGCCCCCCGCCACCCCAATATTGTACAGCTAAATATTGAGGCGCGTCTCATCATCCCAAGTGTCTGTCTGTGTGAGACCATCTTTTATAGCTGTAATCACACGGAGCATACATGTTGGGTGCGTTGCCAGCCCAAATTCCCTATTCCCCCCCCCCCCCCCCCCCCAAAGACAAAGATGCCCCGTAAAGTCTTAACAGACTGTTGGGGCAAGTGCTGTTAGCGAGCACCTATGAAGGCCGGCACGGCACACGAGGGGTTGGGTGACCGGCACCACGCCCGACCGCCTTTGTCTCCCCAGTGGCGATGTTTACACACCGCACCAGGTGCTGTACCCATTTGAGGCTGAGTCGACCTAGGGGGCGCTCAGGACCGTTTCAGATAACCGTCACTGGTGTTGGCCGTGAGTGGGAGTCGAACTGGACACACGTCCCACATCCCACACGACGCCACCCCCGTAACCACAAAGCCCTTCCCTGCATGCTCACACCCAACGGTCCAATGTTTCAGCTTCCTGGAATTTCTAGGCGTTTCGGATACAGACCACATTGTGTGTGTACGCCCGTGTGTGTGTGTCGGTCCTGGACCTCCCCTAGGTCGACTCAGCCTCAATTTAGTGCATGGTGCGGTGTGTAAACATCTCCAATGGGGAGATAAAGGCGGTCGGGTGTGGCGCTGACCACCCAACCCCTCGTGTAACGCTCCAGCCTTCATAGGTGCTCGCGAACAGCACTTGCCCCAAAAGTTTGTTGAGGCTATGCGGGGTGCCTTTGTCTTTGTTGTAGCACGCTGCTCCAAACCTGACGGCCCCGCGTTCGAGTCTTGCTCACAACAGTGGCGACTACGAATTTGAACCGATCCTTGGCCTTGCTCCCCCCCACGGATGGAGACAAAGGCGGCCGGGTGTGGGTGCTGGACACCCACCCCCTCCTCGTGTACCGTGCCGGTCTTCCGAGGTGCTCGCTAGCAGCACTCGTCCCGATAGTCTGTTTAGAGGCCACACGGGGGATCGTTTGTACACACAGTTTAACTTGTGTTCAAAATTAAATGTATTACGATGATGCTGCGTTGGCAATAATGCAGAA